TCCACAGATTAAAACAGTTTTTGCTTGGAATTGGCACCGTAAAGGGTCATAATATTCGTCTAACAGTGTAATAAATTTAAAATCTATAAAGAATTCTCATAAATCTGTCATTAGAGTAAAGCATAAGCATTCCTACCCCAAGATTCCTATCCAGCAGAAGCCATGCTAGTTACAAAACTAAGTGCGTTATTGTAGTTGTTAGGTCCATTTTCATCAACCCAGTTACTGGATTCATAACCTTTAGTAATAGACTCTGCAGTTCGAACCCAATAATATGTTTTAAAAACATTAGTGTAATTCGGTTTAAATGTAAAGTTTGTGCGGCCGGGGTGCAGTGGTTACAGCGCTTGCTTTATAAGCAGGAGATCCAGGTTTGAAACGAGCTCTAGACATATTTTCGTGTCACGGTAAGGAAGGAGAAGTGAACTTCCTGGTTAAATACACTTCCACGATGCTCTGTGACAAGTTAGGTGTGACAAGTTAGTGACTTGTCTTGTGACGGTTCTCTTTTTCTGTAAGGTCACTTCTTGGGAGACCTAAACAACAACAACAACAACAAAATTTATAAAAACCACTGGGATTTCCAAATCAGAAATTGATAAAGGACATGCTGAAATCCCGTTTGTCAGTTTCGGGTCAGCTGAGCTTTAAGCTTTACATTATCAATACCTAAAATTACATCAGGTAGTGGTATTTCTTGCTTATAAATAAAATTAGGATCATAAAAGTTTAAGGGGTATAAGTGTTTCCCCATTCCAAGGTAAGACCCATCGCTGCCTGATAGTGGTTCATTTGTTAAACCTGGGTGTTCGTAATGAATTTGAAAAGCTGATTTTATACCTAATTTTAAAACATCTAAAAGTACTGAATTTCCAGTATTTTTATCATTTAACGTTTCAAATTAAAAATAAAAAGTCTAAAATAACAAAATAAGTAACGAATTTAAAAGAATGAACAAACTTAATAAAAAAACAAAAAGAGTTGGATTAGAGAATGAATGAACAAACTTAATAAAGTAACAAAAAGAGATGGATTAGAGAATGAATGAACAAACTTAATAAAGTAACAAAAAGAGTTGGATTAGAGAAACAAAAAGAGTTAAGAGCTAACAAGCGATAGAATTAACGGTTTAGCAAAAGAAATAATATACCAATTAAAGAAACGTGTAACAAACTACAAAAAGTAAATCAAATGGTAAAAACAGAACTTGAAATAACTAAAGAAGCACTTAAAAAACACGAAAAGCTACAAATCGATTTTGAAAATAGTCTCAATTTTACTCAAGATTCACAGGAAAAAAAAATTCAAAGAAGTGGCAAAACAAATTAGATTTAAATCAATTAATGCAAATGAAGAAAAAAATAAACTTGAGGCATATAGAAAAAAGACAGCTTGAGGATAGGCAACGCAGGAATAACATACGACTTGAAGGTCTTCTAGAAAACGAATCTGAAAGTTGCTAAGAAACGGAGGTAACAGTTTGAAAATAATCTTAAATTAAAGGTATATTATACAGAACGCGCTCATAGAACGCGCTCATAGAACGGGAAAAGTGGATCCAAAAAAGCATTGAACAACTGTTATGAAATTATTAAGCTACAAAGATAAAGTTCAAGTACTTAAAAATGCAAAAAAATTGAAAGGAACTGGGCTCTATATTAATAAAGGCTACTCGCTTGATACGTCAATTTTGAGGAAGAAATTGTTTGAAGAAATGAAGACGCACAGGATGAACGGTATGTACTCTGTAGTTGTTTATGACAAACTTATTGTTTTTTAACTTATTGGGTTTTTAAAAAAACAAATAAAAACACGTAGTTACTTTTTTTTTTTTTTTCATAAACATATTTTCTGTTACTATTTTTTAATTTGTTTGTATATCTTTTATTTGTTTTGTATTTATTTGTATATTTGTTTTAAATAACATGGCTGAAGAAACCGCTTCACAAAACATGGAACCTGAACCCTTCCAAATAATTAAAAACATATTATAAGAAAACAATTCGGACCTAAATACAAACTTTCATAGCAATAATGAGATAATATTAAATAATAGTCTTTACTACAATTCAGGTATTTCTGCTCTTACTACTGACCTAGATCTTTGTGAATTCTCAATTCTACATTTGAATATTAGGAGTAATCGAAAAAATTTTGAGAAATTTAAGCAATTTTTGTTTAGCGCCAAACTTAATTTTCTAATCATCTGTCTTACAGAAACGCATGGATCTTTGTTTTGTAACTAATGATTGTGAATCTTTAACAAATGAGGTTATAAATAATACCCGCAAACATGTGATTGTTAACGTCATATATAGACCACCTTCTGGCAAGATAAAAACATTTCTTAAACAATTTAAAAGCTTAATTACGAACAAAGACATTTGCGGGAAATGCACGAACTTTGTGGGCGGTTTTAATGTGACGTGCCGGAATGTGACGCGAATAAAAACGTTAGAAATTTCTTCAATATTGTATATCAAAATAGTTTTATTCCAACTATAAACAAACCAACAAGAGTTACAAAAGATAGCTCTACCTCAATAGATCAAATTATAACTAACTATTTAACTAACATTAAAATTAAAACTGGAATATTTGTAACAGACATCTCAGACCATTTTCCAATCTTTATAATATCAACAAAACAAAAAATTATAAAAATTTCCGAAGATATAAAAATTACTAAACGAATAATTAATGACGCTTCTATCGTTCGTTTTAAAAGTGTTCTATCTTCCAAAAACTGGGAACCAGTTCTGAAAACCAAAAATACTGATATAGCTTATAACAGCTTCAATCAGTTATTTCAAAACCACTATAATAAAGTATTTCCAAAAATTATAAAATTTATTAAAGAAAAAACTTTTGAAAATGAGTCAAATTACAAAAATTACAAACTTTTTAAATCTATTGTAAAGTATTCAAAAAAGTCGTACTATATTAACCCATTAATAAAATTTAAAAAGAATTCTCAAAAACATGGCGCATAATTAAAGACGCAGTCGGTAATACGTCATAATCTATCTAGCATTTTAGTTAGGGGAAAATAAACTTTCGTTATGATACAAAAACAATGGCATAACATAAAAGTCTTTTAAATGCACAAAGGTTGTTGTGTCTTTAAGTGATTTTTGATATATATATATATATATATATATATATATATATATATATATATATATATATATATATATATATATATATATATATATATATATATATATATATATATATATATATGTATATATATATATATATATATATATATATATATATATATATATATATATATATATATATATATATATATATATATATATATATATATATATATATATATATACAGGTTAGTAACTCTAAAAAAAAATTTTATGATCTACCCTAATATATATATATATATATATATATATATATATATATATATATATATATATATATATATATATATATATATATATATATATATATATATAGGTTAATATATAATTATTTAATTATTTATTAACCTAAGATGGCTTTTTACTAACTAATGGAAAGTTTTATTGTGTTGGATTTGTGTATGAAAATGAATGATGTTTTACAAAATAATAATTTATCAAGTTTTTTTACCAATCCATGTGATTTAAAGAGTTTGAATATTTTTTATATTAAAAATTTTTTATTAAATTTTTAAAGATTTTTCATGATATTGGTTGGTAGAAGGATCAACATAAAAATTAGGCAAATTTTAGCAACTGTATAATGTATCATAACGTACAGTTTAAAGTTGTATTTTTCTGTTAGCTATTTTAATGAACAAATTTTTAATATATGAGTATTTTTTCTATTATATTTTCTACTCTACTTTTCCAGTTGAAAAAGTATATTAGGGCAAGCAAAATGTTCATTCGAGCTGTTTGGATAGAAAATACAGAGAAATAAAGAGAGAAAATTCGATTGATAATTTTTTGTGCTGGCCATCATCATTAAATGTAATAAATTGTTTCAATGAAATGCATAAACCACATCTAACTAATACAGATTTGCGCTGCTCAAAATTAAATGTCATGGAGATAATGTAATTTTTTTTATATAAACCTGAAGTCATTACTTTTTTTCCTTGTTTTTTTAACATGCTTTCATTCTGTATATGTTGTTTTCAGTGTTTAGATATATTCTTTATTATATATTCTTTATTATATAATGTATTTAAAACATTTTTAAGTTAATTGAATATTCTTAGATCATGAATTATGTGATAAATTTGAATTTGCCACTACTAGTGATACTCAGATAGAATCAGATTCAGAAAACGGTAACTATTTTAAAAGATACTTAATTTAAGTATTATTAGTTTTATTTTGATATTAATTTTTATAGGAGCCACTACCATGCTTATGCAAGAGAAAACATAATAACCAACAGAATAGTAAGCAACTACCTACTCCTGTAACGCAAAAAAAGAAACAGAAAACAATTTTTATGAATACTCCACATAGGTATTAATTGTCTGTCTGCAAGTTGATTTAGGAAGAAAAGATTCTGAACTTTTTTTTCTATGCTTCAGTGATTTACACATTTTATTGGTTGCTAAATTAATACATTTTATTTAATTTATAAATAATGTTTTATTTTATAAATGTTTTGTTCTTGTGTTTCAACGCTTTTAGAAATTAATTAATGTTTGGTTCTTTTGTCTTTCTGATATATCTTTATTGTTAGAAAGAGATGTTAGTAAAAATTCTTTCCAGTAATTAAAGTAATATCATGACAAATAGTTCTGAAATTCTATGGATGAACTTGCAGCAGTAATTTAATGATTATGATAACAGTTTAAATGATTCTTGGGTGAGGTCAGAAGTAATGGGTTGTTTCAAAGCATGACTTTTTGCAATTTTTTTATTGTTTTTTGAAAAAGTATTTATTAATAACCTAGCCTAAGTTAATATACTTGTAACTTTTTATAAATGTACTATAAAAATAATGTGGTGTAATTATTATCTTAAACTTTTAGGTTAACAAACTTTCTAAAGTTGGAGGTAAAACCATCAAGACAAATACAAAAAAATGTGATGCAAAGGTTTGTTAAAAGTAGTTTTAAATAGAAAATCTTTGAATCTTTTTATTATAGTTTGTTTTAAACTTGTGTTAAAAATATGTGTACCCAACAATTTTTAGCTATTGATTTCAGATCCCCAAGCGATCAGCATCTATCAGGAAGTGGTCAAAAAATAGAAAACACAGGAGATGGTATGCATATAAACAAATATTTCACGAGCAGCTGGAACTGGTTTAGTAAACATGGTAATCTTTCTTGTCATGAATGCTGTCGCTCAGTTCGAGCTTGGGCGTTTCCGTAGTGTTGCATATTAAAAATTAACAAATACAATCAACACGCTGCTAACATAATAATCAATAGTCTCCCCTCTATAGAATAGCCGCTTTACCATTCTAAACGATGGAGGGGAAAACTTTTCTGAAGCGATTACAAATTAATTGCCAATAAGCGGTGTATAGTAATCAAGTAGTGACGTTACTAATTTATGATTTTTTACTGGTTTCCGGTTTTTTAAAAGTTTTCCGGAGAGTAATATCACAAAGTGTTGTAAAATATTTTCGAGAGCAAAGTAGCGTTAAAGTTGACGTCAATAGAAGTGATAGCGTCAAGTGGCGTTAAACCCTACGCCAAAAATCTTTTACGAAGGTGGGTACCTTAAATAGCGTCAAACCCCAATATTACTACTACTGCAGATCTTTCAGAAAAAATCCCACTGCTCTGGATTGAAGAAAGACGGACGACCGAGGAAAATAGTACTTAACCTACAAAAATACAAAGACAAAATATGAATCTTGAAAGAATCTCATTGACTAAAAAGCCCAAATTTCTTCATTAACAAAGACATTTCTCGTGAGATTGTTGCTGTTTGAAAAAAAGTTATTTGCGGAAGTCAAACAACGGCGCTCAAATGGTGAAAATGTAACCGTAAGATATGACAAAACTATTTATTATAACATTAATTCTAAAATTAATCTTAACAAATTTCTTTAAAAGCTTTTGATGCAGCCGATCACCATTTTCCACCATATTTCAATTTATAAACTCAAGTACTACAAATTAAAAAATAAAATTTCAAAATGGTTATCAATTTAACCGAAAATAATTTGTACCATTTAACTATAATATTCAAACCACTTTTCATAATATAACCTGAGAAGTCTCACAAGGTTCAACTCTTGGATCTCACCGTTTTTTAATTTATATAAATGACTTGAATAAAGCTCAAAACTAACGAGCATTATGTATGCAAATAATACAAACTTATTCCTTTCTAACTAAGATATTAAAACATCATATTGATTACATAAGCACAAAAATTTTTAAAAACACGGGGATCTTATTTTGATCACTAATCTACTTTAATAATAAAGTCTTAATCCAACTTTATTATTTATTTAAATATAGTTATTTAAATTATGCTAATATTTCTCAGGGAGGTACAAAGTAAGTTGCAACGTCTTTATCTAAGTCAGAAACGCGCAATCCGTTCAACCAATTTTGAAAATCGCTTCTCTCATTTAAAGTACTATTTTATTGAAATAATAATTCTAAATATAAACGAGTTAAATGTGTTTAATATTTTATGTTTTGCATATATATGCAAGGCCGCCGAGACCTGTCACGCGGCCTGGGATAGTAATCCTGATTGGCGCCCTTATTTATCAAATTTTCCCTATATTATATAGGAAGAACCTTTTTTTTTTTTAGGTACCTACATTTCATTTGGTGCCCCTTGGATATCTGCCGCCCGCGACAAACTGTCCTTCGCTACCCCCCTTTCGGCGGCACTTTTTACTTTTAAATCAATCAGTAAATATATTTAGAGAAATAATAACTTTTCAAATGAACCTTTTTGTAAAACAAATTTTAATTAATTTTGTATTGCCAATCGAGCGCTACACCTTTGGAATTGTTTTTTCCGAATTTTGATTTTGAAGTACCTATTACTTTTTACTTTTTTAAAAATAAACGAAAAAACCTCATTCTTTCATCAGATAATATATTGAGTTATTATTAGTAGTAAAAGTTAAAAATATATTTGGCCTACTTTTTTGTTGTTTACGTTTTTACATGTTTACGTTTACAGAAGTTTGTTCCTATTTATTTTATTTATTGTTCTTGTACTTTTTACTTTTCAATTTACACCGCCGAATAGAGAAACAAGCAAACTTAGGTTACTTTTTGTAAGTTTAGAGGCCCTTCTGTAAACTTAAAGAACTTTTCTTTATTTAAGTAATACATAGTGAAAAATTGATAAAGAATTTGATTCCCTAATAAGAGGTTTTTCATTAGGGGCCCTAATTACAGTTAATTTATTATGATATTATTTCTGTTTTCCTACACTGTTATGCAATATATTCCAACAATGATATAAGAATACATGTAATATATATACCCAGCTAGCACACTTACATTGGGCCAACGTATGTAAAACCATCGCGAACGTCGGCTCTTTTTTCCAATGGAAAACCAACGTTTATCCAATGTCATTTGGTTAATGATAAAATTATTACGTAACTAAAAACATCTGGCAAATTTACATTGTTCCAATGTATGTAAAAACATCGCAAAAAGTTGATTGTTTTACGATCTAAACCCAAATCTAAATTCAAAATCTTCCGTGATTATTAAAATATCAAACAACAATCAAAACAAACATGATTTTTGTTGCGATGATGAAGCGTAAGCAATTTACTATGCACACATATATTTATTATGTACGTCGGCTGAGTATGTATGTATGTATGTATGTATGTATGTATGTATGTATGTATGTATGTATGTATGTATGTATGTATGTATGTATGTATGTATGTATGTATGTATGTAGGTATGTATGTATGTATGTATGTATGCATGCATGCATGCATACATACATACATTATATACACATATGTATATATTATATAAAAATATTATATATATATTATAAATATATAAAGAAAATAGAATTTAATTCCGAATAATGTTGAATACAACGTTTTGCCAACTAAAGTTCAACGTTGAACCAACCTAAATACAACGTTGTGCAAACTAAACCATTTTCCGACTTTAAATAAACATTTTATGAATATTGGTTTTTAGTTGTTGGCGACGTCGCATTTGTAACCATAATGATATAAAAACAACGTTGGTAGCCGATGTTGGGCCAACGAAACGCGCGACATTATTCTAATGTTTTAACAACGTATGTGTGCTAGTTGGGAATACAATTATTTTGTTATACTTTTTTGCGTTTAAGTTAGTCAATTTTCACTTTAATTTGACATTTTTTCTTTTTAATTTGGCTATTTTTACTTGAACTTGTTATTTTTTCATTTTAATTTGGTACTTTTTACTTTAATTTTTTATTTAAATTTTAATGTCAATTTTAAATTTAAATTGGGCAATTTTCATTTTAATTTAACACGAAAACTTTATCAGCCAAATGAATTCTAAAAATTTGTTTAGCTAGTTTTAATAAATTCATCAAAGGTAAATGTTAGAATAAATTCTTTCATTTTCAAATTTAGTAGAATTAAGTTCTGCTCATCGGTTTCTTAAAGAACCATATATGACAGCTGCTATAAATGGCAAGCTGATAATTTTTCAACATATTAACAGTCGCTAATCACCGGCTGGCCACTTTTGACGGCTGCTACTAATGGTCCACTCAATAACTAATGAGCAAAATTAGAGTGTTCCGCTCAATAAGTCCACTGAAATTCTGCCATAGAATGTTTACTAGTATTGTTAGGGTTTCCACTTTAACAGCATATAATACAACGCTGAAAACAATGCACATTAAAACTGTTTTTCAGGAATGAAATATAATAATGGAACCCAACCATTTTATCAAATGCTTTGAAAAAATGTTTATTGTCGAAACAAAGCAGTTAAAAGGATTAAAGCTTCTAACATTTGACGAACACAACTTTTATCAATAACTGATTAGACTTGTTGTAGAATGTTGCAATCAACGTTGATATACTATGTTTACGTGCTCATATTAGTAGTATATTATAGCCTTTGAATGTAGGTGTTTTAAGGACAGTCAAGAGATTTTGGAGAAATAACGATACAACACGATGAAAAAATAAAGATAAAGCATTATTTTAACAATTGCTGAAATTAGTTACAGATAGTGTAATTGAGGCATTTAGTAGAACAATTGGATTATTCAATGGAACAGTTGGGGCATTCAGCAATGCTAAAATAGCTTTTGAAACTATTTTATTTTTCTCTGAAACAAAGTAGAATTACAAGTAAAATATTGTTAATGAAAAAAGCTTTAACATCGGGTGTAATCGTGTAATAATATAAATCAAAACAAGATCGCAATTGCAATCAGTTGCATGATCAATATAAGATTATTACCAGTGCAATATACAAGTTCAGCTGAAATACAGTATCTGCATTTATATATTTATTAAATATTTTTGGGGTATACAAACACGGGCCATTAAATAGTTAATTAGCAGTAAAATATGTTTTAAGATGTTTTAAAATTTTTTTTTCTACGAATGTTTCCTATTCATAGTATTAATCTCAGCAGCCGCACTGTTACGAAGCGGAAATAGAATTTTACGGGTCAGGGCAATAACATCCGTTTTTGCCATGTATAATAACATCCGTAAAACAACATCCGAAATTTCATCGATGTATAATAACATCCGTGCAACTACATCTGTAGATTTTTCGGATGTAACTACATCCAAATTTTTTTTTTTTAAATGCATAATTTTATCCAGATGTAGTTACACATCTAATTTTTTTCGGATGTAACTACACCCGGAAAAAAAAATCTATAATAATACATTATATAACCAGATGTAGTTACAAGTTTAATTTCTTTCAGATGTAACTACATCCGATATGTTGTTTCGGATGTAACTACATCCGAAAAATAATTTATTTATAAAAATTAATTATTTGAATTGTGATTTTAAAACTGATTGCTTTAAAAATCGTAAAAATAGACTCTGCTTGTTTGCAAAAACATAATAATACTTTAAATACGATCAATATAGATAGTTTTCATTGCCAAAAATTTAGATCTTTTTCTATGGAATGGTTTAGACTGCTTAGAACACTTAACTTGGACATTAAAGCTGGACATCTTTGGCACTCATTGGCATCTAAAAATTTATCAAACTACTTTATTAAAACTCTGTCTTTATCCTATAATGAATAGACCCCTATGATATAGAGCTATCACTTTCACTCACGGACTGCCAATTTGACATGCCTGTTTTAAACCTATTTAAAAAGCAGCAAAGCCAGTCATCCACTGCCTATGAGAGTAGGGTGAGTCAATTTTAATTTTTTTTACAATTTGAAAAACGGCAAGATGACTTTTAATGAAAAATTTTACGGGGATTTCAAATCTGAAAATAAAAAAAAAAAAAAAAAAAATTGTCTTGCTGGGTGGGTCGGCGTTGTTTTAAATGGAAAAATGACTAAAAATGACTAATTAACGAGGGGAAATTTTAATTTAAAATATATATATTTTTTCAAAATATTTAAAATACGTAATAAATATTATGTTGAATTTTAAGAAAATTTTATATTTAGTTCAAAAAGTAATAAAAATGAACACATAAAGTGAGTTTTTGTAAAAGGTGTTTTTACAAAAATAAGGCAGTTTTTCATATTTTAAACAGTGAATATGACAAATTTTTTTAAATAAGGGGAGTTTATCATTTTGAAGAATTTCACAGAGATTCCGAATCTACAAAAACCAATTAAAATCATAGGCAGCCGCAGCGTGTCCAGGGCGTTTGGAGAGGCGAGCTTGTAAGGAACAAATTCCTTTTTCTTAGTTAATAATAATTTTTTATTGAATTATTAAAAATTGAAAATTTCGCAATATAGACGACTGTTTTTATTTTCTTTTTGCGTCCATACCTAAGTTGACAAAACTTTTTGAAAAAAACGAAACCTGATGCGGTATCACAAAATGAATTGGACTGCCACCCATGTGGAAGCAATCATAGAGATTTGTTGAATGAAGATCTTAATAAAGAGGCAGCAACTTTGGACAAAACTTTGTTGTGAAAATGTGTTGCTAGCGAACAAATTCTAATACAAGCAATGACAAAAACAATGATGACACATCTCATGATGACAACGATATTGATCGTTGATCTGTATTAAAACTTTAATACAGATGTAGAAATAATTTTTACCAACCTTGTGGACTTTTTACGTCAAAATAATAGACAAATTGAATTCAGGGGTGGTGTTATTTTTAATTCTAATAATCATCAATTTCTACATCTGTATTAAAGTTTTAATACAGATCAACGATCAATATCGTTGTCATCATGAGATGTGTCATCATTGTTTTTGTCATTGCTTGTAATAAAGTCTACTTCTTCTAGTACTAAAAGGTCTGTAGCTTCTTTTGGAAGAATATAAGTTTTATTTTTAGATCTTGTACATAAAGATTATGTACTTATAATTGGATCTGATGAGTTCATTGCACGTGTAAATATATCAAAAAAATTATCTTCTCTTGAGCACTTGCGAGCATGTTGTAGCCGATCTTTTTAGTGATTTTGTTGCGACACTTTAGTGCTTCTTTGCCCAAAGCCCCTACGGGAATATGAGAATTTAAAATAATTTAAAACCTTATTATGCTTTGTAAAAAGCATCAGTGGTTGGAACCTGGGAACAAAAATATTCCTAAAAGACCCCCGTGTTTACCCCGAGCGCAATAAGATACACTATATTATACAAAATATAATTTCATCAACAGGTTTTAAATTTCATCTAAAAATCGTTTTGCGTTCGAATGTTTTTACCATTTAAAATTTACAACCTCTCAATGCATTGAGGGGTTGTAAATTTTAGATGGTCATAACTATCGAACGCTTAAAGATTATTAGATAAAATTTAAAACCTGTCAATGGTTTTAAATTTAGTGTAAGATTGTCACTTAAATATTTTATTAACTCAATGCCCTGACGTTTGAGCCAGGGGCGGTAAATTTTTTGATGTATTTTGTCCGCAGGCTCTAATTAAAGTATTTTTTTTTTAATATTATAATTTGAAATAAGCATGAACTTAGTTTAAAAAGTTTATAAACTGCCCTAAAAAATCTAATCTGAAACATTAAAAAAATTGAATCTGCTACTGATACCAGTAGTAGAAAAATGGCATTTTACAAGGACCTTACATCACTAAATATCAATTATTTCAAAAAAGGGCAAAAAAGGGCGGCTAAATTTTTCACAAATATTTTTCAGAGCATGTATAGCATTATTAAATGATGAGACCACATTGTAAAGAATTGTAATTTAGTTTTCCTGCTCCACCAAAGTTGAAACATTCGATTATTTTGTGATACTTTTTTATATTTTGGCTTTACTTGCACAACTGCATTCGAATTTTTCTCAAAATACTTCAACAATCAAAAGCTAGTCTCAAGGACCTTTCCATTGATGTATATAGTGTAACGAGGGGCAAAATGAGACACTTAATCGCTAATATATCTAATACGGCCCGTCTAACAACTTTTAAAAAAATAAATTGATACTTTTCAATTCTTCTACGATCCTACTTGAAGCCTAAAAAGTATGAGTTGCAAAACTGCAGTAGTTTGGTCACCAGAGATCATTTATTGACAATCCTGTCTCATTTTGCCCCGCATACCGGGGCAAAATGAGACAGATTTTTTTTTTAGTAATTTAAATAAATAAAGTTAAAAAAAAAACATATCTTTAAGAGGATTAGCAAGAAATACATTTTATAATATATTACAGCTATAATCAAACTGTCACTAGTCACATAAATCACATATTGCTTAACCAGTATTTTAAAACAAACAACAGTCCACTACAAGAACTAATAAAACCATACATGCATATATTAAACTGTATTTAAAGCACGCATAACATTCCATGTATTTTGTTTATAGGTACTGCAATAACCTATGTTATAATCTACTCACTATATATTTTATATACTACTTACTTTATTACATTACAATACAATAAGATTATAAAATACAAACATAGTAATTATAAACATCAGGCAATTATTTGCTTCAATTTGATTTAATATTTATTATATTTAAATATAAGTTAACGAAATATAAAACGTAATTCTATATTGGATAACAACTAAACATTTTAATTAACAAAATAAAAAGTAAGTAAATACAGTATAATAAATTTAAATCTACAGCATGTAAATATTAATATTTGCTTTGGTTGTTGTTTTAATGTAAAAAATTAAATAAACATAATATTAGATATCGGTAAAAAAAAAATACAAACAGAATGTCTCGTTTTGCCCCGCATCATGTTGGCATCGAATAGCCTAATTTCCAGACTATTTTATTGAAGAAATAAAATACCAAAGAATGGAAATGAAAGGAAAAGGCCTAAAGATTCTAATTAAAAAAAAACTTTAAATATAAAAAGTTTTTCCACTCAGTGAGATCAAAAAAGGCTAGGAAAAAATATAATAACAACTCTTAAAAATTCGTCATTTTCGCGAAGCCGAGGGATCAAATGACTCCCCTTTTACTCAACTTTTTTATTTCAAAGTGACTCAATATATTTTTCTTAACACAAAATAGTTTTTGAACACAACTGCACTTTTAAAAATCTTGCAAATAATAAATGATTTTTTTCGGATATAACTACATCCGGGAAAAAAGTAATTTAAAAATGCATTATTTTAATCAGATGTAATTACGCATCTGATTTTTTTCGGATGTAACTACGTCCGTAAATTTATTTTATTTTAAATAATGCATTATTTTAGGCAGATGTAGTTACACATCGAGAAAAACTCTCGGATGTAGTTACATCTTTCTAAAGATGTTATTATACATCAATGAAATTTTAGATGTTGTTGCACAGATGTTAATTCAGTAAAGAAAAAAATCTTACACAAAAATATGCGGACGTTATTTTACTACTTCACGGATGTTGTTGGACAGATGTTGTAATTTTTTCACGGATGTTGTTCGACAGACGTTGTAATTTTTTCACGGATGTTGTTGGACAGATGTTGTAATTTTTTCACGGATGTTGTTCGACAGATGTTGTAATTTTTTCCATGAATTTTACCTATATTTCTTGAAGATATTTCCAATTTTGACTTTTTTAATGTTTTTTTATGGAATGAGGTTAGTAGTTCCTTATTAAAAAAAGATCAAAAGTTTTTCAATTTTGTTTTTCAAAGAGGAGGAATTTCAAAGTTAAAAAAGCACATGTTTTTAATAAGTTTTTATGCTGCTTTGATAAATCCAACTTATGTATTTTACTTAATTTACTTTCAACTTATTTATTAAATTAATTAAAAACCAAGAAAAGCCAAAAAGGGTTTTTGGATAGTAATTAAACAGTAAGTTTACCCTTCCTTCCTTATCGATGTTGCATACGTGACCAGAGCCGGCTTCAAACCACGGAGTTGTAAAGCCAGAACTCTAACCACTACACCACGGCTTCTAATCGAAATATAAAGTCAATAAGCATTAGAAAATCAAAATTTAGAGCTATCAAATATTTGAAAATAGTGCATTTTAATGCATATTTTTGTTTTTTTAAACTTTAACACGTTTTATCAAAAAAAATAAATGATAAAAAAAACAAAAAAAATCTACATTGAAGTTGATAAAAAGATAATATCAACAAGAAGTATATTTTTTATTATTGTATCAATTCTCTCTCAATTGTATTGCTATTATTTTAATCCATGTTTTAAATTGTTAAAAGATTATTCTGCGAATCTAATGTACTAAAGTACTAGATATAACTAAAATAACATGTGATTTTTTCAGTACAATTATTTTAGTACCTGATTAGGTATTAGAATCGCCGAAAAACTATAAGGTTATATTGAAAAAAATGTTATAGTTCGAAAAACGTTGGTTGGAATACTTTTTTTAATTTTAAATTTGATATAAAACTAAAAACAGTTGTTTTAGTATTTGCAGTACATACTCTCTATGCAGAAATTTTATATAAATGGTAAATAATAAAAATAATATGAAATATTATTTTTATTATTTACAGTTATATGTTTTATTATTTACAGTTATATATATTTACAGTTATATTTATTTTTATAGTTATGTGCAATTTTATATCTTTATAGTTTCATAGAATTTCTGTTCCGAATGCAATAAAACAAGCAACGTAAAATATTATATCTGATATCAAGATCAAGTTGTTTTATTAATTAATAAAATATATTATTTTATCTCCAAACAAAAACAAAAAAAATCATGTTTTAACTTTTGATAAGATATAAAATTGAAACAAAAATCTAATTTGTTGAAGACACTCGCCTCTCAAGGATCCTAGAAGATGCGTTTCTTTTTAACAACTGGATTTGCTAAAGAGATTATATACAAATATTTGACAGGTAATATTCGTCGTCATAAATATAAGATTTTTTCATTTTATAAAAAATTTCAAATTGTCTATTACTAATCTTTTATTCTAAATGTACAAAAATATTTAATACGCAACATAAATATTCAAAAATATTTTACCTTTATTCTAATATTGTTACACGCATTTTGTACTCGCTGTGTGTATGGTGATCTATTAAAAAATATGTTTAATATTGAATGTTAATAATTGTAATGATACTGTTCAACAAAAAGATATAACTTACTGATTAAGAAGTTGAGAATCAATTGCGTTTTGCATTACAGTATTAGTACGATATTTGATTTGAGCCGGAGACGAAGACGAGATTCTCAAACCTGGTAATCCATTGCATAAACTGTTGTTTTCAAAACTAAGTCTTTTTGAATAACTTTGTTCAATTTTGGGGTAACACTTACCTTGTTCTAAATTGCTCAAGGTAATTGTAGAGCAGGAAATACTTTTATAGTTTAAATCACGGTTAGTGCCAACACCAAGATTGCTACTGTTGTGATTAGTTAAGGGACTGTGTTTTAAGTTGCTGTTGTGATTAGTAAAGGGACTGTGTTTTAAGTTGCTGGAACCAACCTGTTCAGAAGTCATTTTTGATAACTTTGAAATAGAAAACATTCCAAAAGAATTATTTATATCAGAAGGTAAATATTTATTTTTATGTAACGAACGTTGTAATAGGTAATTGGAGGGCCAGTGGTTATATGATAAGACATCATCATTTTCCGTCACTTTCTAAATAAGTAATATTAAAAAAACCTTATTAAAAATTCATATTTGGCTTTCAATACATTTATAATATTTTTCATGTCGCCTGTATATATATATATATATATATATATATATTATATATATATATATATATATATATATATATATATATATATATATATATATATATATATAGATATACATATATATATACATATACATATACATATACACATATATATATATATATATATATATATATATATATATATATATATATATATATATATATATATGTATACATGTGTATTCATAGCTTGTTTAAGTTAAATAAGCTATGAACACAGACACACACACACTTTTACACACACACTATTTAGTTAGTAACTAAATATAAAACATCAAAAACCAACAAAGTAAATATCTCTTGTGAGTATAATATATTTTATATATTAAGTTAATATTATTGTTAAATTTTAACAATAATAATAACTTAATATATAAAACATATTATACTCGCAAGAGATATTTACTTTGTTGGTTTTTGATGTTTTATATTTAGTTACTAACTAAATATAAAACATCAAAAGAAAAAAGTGGTTTCTAACTAAGTTAGAAACAACTTTTTTTTTTTTCCACAAATTTTTATCAAATAAAAAGTTAGATATTCAAAAAATGTTAAATCTCACTGTGTAACCAGCATAAAGTGATAAAAATGTGGACTGCAAAAATAAATTTTTACTTGTAAAAATATACCTAGGAGGAAAATTATCAAACAAAAGTTTGCTGAGATTAAAAGTAAACATTTTAAAACATTATACCACTCTTAACTGAGAAGTTATAACTTACCGCGCTAGAATAAATGCACCGCTCCGCGTCTAATGTTGTTTTTTATACTTACCGGTTTTTAATAAAACCCACTACAATGAATCGATATTACACAATGTTACTACAGAGGTAGCCAGTATATTATTTCACTTCTAAAAAGTCTATTTATCGTAGAAAATTTATAATAAATAAAAAACTGGCTACCTCAGTAGTAACATGGTCTAATCAATCAATCTTTAGGGACGCACAAAAGCAATGATCCAAACATTTTTTTTTTCTTATTTTGGTTTTTAATTTACAAAATGTATCATTTATTTGATAATATGCAAAAAAATTGAGGAAATTCGGTAATTATCGTATCTAATATAATAATTTAGTGGAAACCCGGGTTTTTATAAGGGAAAAAAAAATTTAAATTAAAAAAAAAATTACATTCTTTTTTAACACGCCATAATTAAAATCTTTTTGTTAACATGCCATAATTAAAACCTTTTTGTTAACATGCCATAATTAAAATCGGATTTGCGCGTATACATTTAAGTTAATATTGTTAAAAGTTTTTTAAAGTTAAAAAAATTAAAAGCTTTTTATAGTGTTACCATTTATATTATATTGTTAACAATAAGTTTAAAGTTATAAGATTATAGGTTTTTTTAGTGTTTTTATTTTGGACAGCTTTTGTTCAAGAAGATATTTTTGGAGAGCTCTAGTTTTGGGAGATATTATTAGAAGAATACTAAATATTCAGTTATAGCCTTTAAAACTTCACACTTGGGTAACAGACGCAACGATAGGTTAGGCGCAACATTAGGTCAAACTAATGGTGGGCAACCTATTTTGAGTAGTAAAATCGCAGTAAAATCACTGATTTAGGACCCCTCCTCCCCCCTTTTACAAACATGTACGCTTTCGAAGACCCCACCTCTCCGCGTATGTATGCATTATTTTTTTTCTTCAAAAATTAAATCGTTTTTTTTTCTGAAGCCAGAAAAAAAAACTATTCTAATTTGTTACACACGTGAAATTCAACATTTAAAAAAAATAAAATCATGTTTAGGAGAGAGAGTCACGTCTTCAACACCCCGTCACTGTCTTTAACACCCCTCCCCCTTCTTGTACGCGCTCGTACGCTTTTGGGAAATCCCCTCCCCCATACCTGCGTACATACTTTATGGATGGCCCCTTATATAGAACACATTTATGGGGTGGAAGCAAATTTTTTGTTAATATTGTTTTTTGGAACACTCTAATATATATATATATATATATATATATATATATATATATATATATATATATATATATATATATATATATATATATATATATATATATATACATATATATATATATATATATATATATATATATATATATATATATATATATATATATATATATATATATATATATATATATATATATATATATATATATATATATATACATATATATATATACATATATATATATATACATATATATATATATATATATATATATATATATATATATATATATATATATATATATATATATATATATATATATATATATATATATATAATTTATCTTTGATACATAGTTATGAAATAAATATATACAAAAAACAATGCAAAATTCTAAATGGAATACCAAAAACAGTTTTAAAATAAACCAAAAGGAATCTTCAAAAGTTAATTCTAATAAAAGTTTAATCAGCAGCAAGCAATTCAATTATTTCATAGCAATCAGTTTTCATAAAATACTTTTTTGATTGTCCTTTATCTCGTCGTTTTCGACATTATGATATGGTAGCATATAGCTACCGGTTAAGGCTCCATATTATGCTAAAGAAGAATGTATCAAAACTAAGTCTTTTTTATCAACAGGAACTCCACAACTTTCTGTTGGTCTCCATTTATTGTATGCTTTTCGAAAAATACTCATGACAACCCATGTTATCAGTTCTGCTTGAAAAAGACTCCCAATTTTTACATTAAATATTTCCATGCTAGACTTATTTTTTAAATTCGGTCTATACCAACGTTGTAATAATGATTTAGATTTTTGGTGATTATTAAATGATACATGAACTTGCTCAGAAATAGAGATCAACCCTTCTTCACAAATGTCTTTGAGGGATATTTGAGTGAACATTTTCTGAAAAGAAATGTTGCTTTAGTTTATCTCAACCAACACCTCATCAACATTGTTTATCTCTGGTTCATTATGAATTACTTCAATTTCTAAACTTGCTTCTTGTAAACTATTATTAATTATTTCTATCAATTTTCCTTGAACATCAGTGTCATAGCCATTATCAACATTTAAATCCTTATCCAAGTTGGGATTAACGTTTACTTTTATCAAACTACTTTTATTCTTTATAAAGGAAGTATAGAAGCTCTTTAAATCTGAAAGAGAATTTTTTCAAACAAAAATTTCATTTATTGTTGGAAAAACAATTTTGGATAGTTTACTAGCAAATGATTGGAAGAAAAACAAAAAACAAAGAAAAAAATCTCTGCATTGAATTTATCACCTAATCAAGAAAAGGTTCAAATGAACCTTTTCTTGATTAGGTGATAAATTCAATGCAGAGATTTTTTTCTTTGTTTTTTGTTTTTCTAGCATTGCAGTTACAGATGCAACAAAGCCAGTTAAAGTACTGGCATAACCTTTTGTTCCAGTGTTTGATGTGGATCTAAAAGCAGATGAAAAAAAATTGATTTATTCTATCATCATACTGAATAAAACCACGAATTGTGAATTCTCTTTCAAATTGTCTTGTACAACCAAAATAATGCTCACAAGGTTCTTCAGTACAATATCTAGGACATTTAACTTGCTCCTGTGGGTACAAAAAGATAGACAGTATTGCATTTGCAACAATGTTCTTTAAAGTTATAAAGTGAATACTTTCAATCGATAAAAAATTGCACGACTGTTAAAATCTGCTTCTATTATCTTTTTTATTAATTTAGGGTCACAAATTCCTAACACTAAGGCATCAGATGCAAAGTCTTTAACATATAAACCTCTAGATATATTTAAACTTGCATATGCAAATATTCCAGGTTGAATTAGATACGATTTAATTGTTTTTAATACAGTCTCAGACAAAATTTGGTTTCTTATGGCTTTTGCAACATGATTATCATCTATAAAAGCAATTTCATTTGTTTTTTCATCAAGAAATGATAATAAAATCTATGTTATCCATTTACTTTCGTATGATACACCATCTGTGCAAAATGAAACAACTTCGAAATTTGGGTGTCTTGTTAAAATATTATAAATGTGATTATTGAATAAATGATTACTTTCATTTGTACTTTGGGGATGAATACATAAAAGTTTCATTGGTGTCATTCCTTTGGGACACTTGTGAATCATTATAACAACTGCTTTAACTTCTGTTGCTAGATCTATTGTACTGTTAATACCATTAAGTGTTAGAAATTGTGGCTAAATCTGGAATCATCATTTTAGTATATGATTTGGTGCAACCTTTCCCACAATACAATTAAACTTTACACAAGTTAAAAAGGCTGGAATTGCTTTGGTAGCATCCATAGATACAGACACAATTAGTTTATTGGTACCAGGCATTATTTCATAAATTTTATCTAACCTTTTGTTAAAGCCATCTAAGAATAAAATTATTTGATGTTTTTGCAGTGACGCGTTGTTTCAAGAAAACACTAGGAAGATTCGCAGCAACAAATCTATAAACACATTTACCAATTGTTCGAAGCATTAAACAAAAATCTAACAAAAATCTAATTTGAAATTTTTCATTCGTTTTACCACTTGCTTTTGAAAATTAGATAAGGCTGCATTGCATGTAGTAGAGTTCCATTTTGTTTAGGATTTTCTTTGTAAAGTTTATGAAATGATCGGAAAAAGGAATCATATCCTGAAATTTAATTTGTTTCTGAAACAGTAATTCCAATTGCCAAAAGTTATTTTTTCAGATTTAATAATGAAGTAATACCTTCAATTTATAAACTGACCTTTGCAGCTAACAATTTTCTTTTTTCATTACACCGTGCACGATTAAGTTTACAGCTCTTTACAAATTTTTTAAGTGCTTCTAAGTCTGCTTCACGAATTTCAGATGATTCGATAATTTCTAAAACATCTCTTATAACATCCATTGTTTCCAATAGACTAGTGATTGATCTATTTCTACATAAATTTATGCAATGATC